ATTCGTAATAGCGTGTGTGGGGACTTGCCCAATGAAGGAGCTGCAAACCGATATTTGAACGATCAGATAAATGATTTCCCCCATTTTCATACCAGTGGATTAGATGTCTCCATCATACAGCTAAGAAGGGATAACGTGTACGGTGCCCAAAAGAAGTGTTCTTTTAGATTAGTGGTAAACTGAGAAGAAATCCATCTCGACGCAAGTTCTCCGTTATGAGAGCTCCAATCAGAGTGCAAAGAAATAGATGGATAAGGGACCGATAATTTGCAATGAATGAATGTGCAAACCAAGGGTTGTTTGTTTTTTCATCAGATGGATAATCTGCGTTCAGAGAGCGAACTCAATCAAACAGTAATCGGTAAGGAACATAATAATTGGGGAGTGTTGGCTGTAATTATGGTAGTAGCATTCCAACGCTCAACTTCTGGAGGGACCAGAAGTGACTCGTACTGCATACGTTTGACGAAGAAGCCAGTTAATCCGCGATCACTCGCGTTCTGTGGGCTGCTGGCTCTGAGATTCTAACTCCGTCAATGCAATTTTACTTGGATGATAGGTAACCTGAAGGTATCCGGTTTGATTTTCACTGAGGTTACTTTTTGTAATATCCACCAAATTCAAACAGCCTGTAAATTGGCTTGCTTCTGGTCAGTTCACATTGCATAATTCTTATTATGCAATAAAATGTTTTGGAGAATATACTCTTTCTAAAGAAATCCCTCACAGTCTCTACCAATCATCATGTTTATCAGCTAGTTAGACATTGGTGCAATGATAGATTAGGTTGATATGACCAAGTTTAGTAATGGGAAATGTTATTAATAAGCAAAGAAAATCAAATCGAAGTGTCACTGAATTTTGATCTATACTTTGTTTTGCATTCAATGTGTAACCGATGCAGTGTGGAATTCAATATCACGAATAGGTTTACTGCTGAAACAAATCCCGCAAATAAAGAGAACAACGAATAAACAATACGGGGATTGTAATTAAAAAGGGCCTCCATTTTCGTTCAGTACAACTGGAACAAATTGATTAATGGTTACCTTACTGATTGGAAGCAGATTTCACTAGATACCTATTCCATACACGTAGTCAAAATATGAATGCACTTTAGTTGCCTCGGTTGATTACGTATTTCATGCAAACAAAACTGCATAACGGACCCGTCGTGTTGCACGAGAGCTATTCAGTCGGTACTAGTACTCTTCAGTCTGAATAATGACTTTCAATGAATTAGTAAAAACGTTCATCCTGGTGTGCTATAATCCATCATTCGTGAATGATGCTAAAACTATGCAGGCGGCTTTCAGAGTTGTGTTTTAACAAGAAAATGCAGATTTAACCACCCACATTCAAACAACCGTTTCTTACGGTATCGCTTTTGATCAACCAACTGAGACTTTCCACCTGGTCCATGACTCGCGATAGTCCGTCAGGTTATGTTTAATTTAATCGTTTTCGTGTAAAAATCTCGTATATGCCTTGACTGGGGTTCGTAAAACGCCGTTAACCTTAAAAAAATGATCATACCTTATGCGTTGACCGTGTAGCTCATGAGTAAGGGTTTGAAGTCCCGACCCGAATGTTCGCGGTTCGAGTCCTGACCAGGGGACACGAAAAGCACGCACTGCTGACGAGTCCCAAGCAGGACGAAACAGCTGTCCAGTGCTCTTTGTCGGTCATCATAAGCAGTTTCATTGCATTTGAATGCATTCACCCCGTGGGGAATTACTGATCTCCCAAAGAGTGAAACCCACATCCAAGACCATCAAGAGTGCCTTGTGCCTCTGAAAAATCGAATGGGTTAATCCTAGCTTGATACTCTGTACCGTGTACATGTTCAAAATCGTAAGAATTCAAGCCAGAAGAAAACTGGTGGATCCCTCCGGACGCACGAAGATTAGCTCGATTGGAATCGAAGTCGGCATGAATCAGACAGAAAACAGAACTGTATACATGGACATCTATCTTGCACTACCTTTGGAAGGGCTCATGTTTCATGGCAGGGATGACGTACTATAGGGTTTTATTCTGTCATCAGACGACGGAACTCCTTGGGCCATTTTCTTCATTACACACCTTAGTGTAATGAACAGTAGACAGGGAAAGCCCCATGGTCAGGAAAACCCGGTGTTCAATGATGTAAACCGGTAACCTTAACCCAGGGACTTGGAGTGGTGGACCACATAAGGCCCTGCTAATTCAGGCGTGGTATTGAACCGAACGACAGCAAAGCTGCCTACCACCAAATTTGGATGGCAGTGACGGGGCTCGAACCTCAGACCATTTGGGTCCAAAGCATGCCAGTGACAGCGACCAAATCACTGCCCCACAACCACCACCACCGGTTATGGAGTACCACAACAGTTTGGATTTTCCGGTCAGTTGGAGTCGCATCGTTGGGTCACGAATTCGTAACACGCATCGGGGAACGTGTTTATCAGTCGGATTTGCGGTGCGTGAGTGGATTTCACGTTAGCAACCCCAATAAAATTAAATGCAACAGGGGTCCGTTAACGATAAGCCTGTCTAAACCGCATCGCTTTAGTAACGAGTGGTAAAAGTCATTGAGGAAGAAATCAGACAATTTTTGCCCTCATGTTACCAAGGCACGTAATTTCATCATTGCATAATAATGTTTTAAACTTGTCACGCAACCGGAAAATTAAACTTTGCTTAAATTATCAAGCAAGTTGTTTTCAGGTAATTAATTATTTCTTGTCCCCATCTATGTGACTGTATAGTCTCATAAGTTAACGGCAATAGCCTATCTGGGCGCTTATCATCACGTATGGGACGAGTCAAGCAGTGTTGACGGGACCTGCACCACAGGAACCCAAAACCACGAAA